ACTTTAACAAATTTCAAGAAACCGCAGCGTCACTGCGTCTGTGCCAGCCGTAATTGACAATCTGCTGTTTGTGGAATCAGCTGTGTTGACAACAATGACAGCCATCATGGTCATCGCCAGCTTTTTCCAGAGGAACCATAATGAGCAGAGGAGTCTGAAGTCCAACACCAGCTGACTCAATTCAAGTCTTTATCAGTCAGATCTCCTGTTTCTTCTGAGGCTTCTTCCTCTGTCACAAAACTGTGATCGTACTGCAAACAGTTTTGTGTTTACTTCTAATTGATTATTCAGAGCCAATTCACAATGTGGGATCATACTCCTACCTCTCAATATCAGCAACATTTTAGAAGGGGACATCTGCATTGTGGGTTTTTTTCATAATGACAGAGAAATATTCAGGTGTGTATTGGAAATGCTGGTCAGTATGTCAATATATTTTAAAACGTAGTAGAATATATTGTAACTTCTACATTACCCACTTAAAAAAGATGGTTCTTCAGGAGTTCTTTAGCAAAGAATGCTTTTTGGTTCTTTGAGTATACATAGTTCTAAATGGAACTATTTCTTTACTAAAGAACCCTTGAAAAAACATGTTTTTTTAAGTGTGTAGGGCTGCAAGTAACAATTATTTCTAGAAATGATTAATCTATCAAATATTATTTGATTAAAGGACAAATAAAACTATTATGCATTTTTTAGTTCCTCACACTTTGCCCCATCGCAGTTATGTCTTTGCGGAAACTACAAATCAACAGAAGCTATATCACGCCCAGTGCATCCTGCTGCGCACTGCAATGTGTCCGAAAAATCAAGTTTCATACGAACACTATAGCAGAGTTGTGCCCAGTCCTGGTCCTACCACACTGCTGAGTTTAGATCCAATCCTAAGCAAGCAGGTTTGTTACATCTGAACTCTCCAGGGTGGTAGATCTCCAGGGCAAAGCCTGGGCACCCCTGTTATAGAGCACTATGAGCTACATTCCAAAAGCTAGTCTGCAGTCATGGTGGGCTGCATTTCTAGGCTGCTACGTCATCAAAGGCTGTTCGAATAAGAACGATCATTCTGACAGTTCAAAAGAAATACAGGCAGATGAAACCAGTTCATCTGCATTTGTCTTTGATATATTTCAGTTGGAAGTATGGATATAATCAAAAATAGTCTGTGTTTGTAAGAATGGCTTATTATACTGGGCCCACTGGACAGACAATGCTAACAGTAATAGTGTTAGACAAACCATCCTACACGTTGTTTACAAAGGCCAGTAAAATGTACGATAAAATATACAGCATGCTATTTCTTTATCTGTGGATCTGTTTAAGAGGGTGTAAATTGAAATGCACCTGCTTTCAGGGAGGTGAACCCTTTTTAGCTTGCAGGATGTCATTTAATTACAAACAAATTAATATGTTGCTTGCTACTTTACTATCTTTCCATCAACAGTATTTCCAATACCATGACAAAGCAGCCTTGGTACACCGTTCTGTTTTGCATAATGTAATACAAATGAGGAGCCTTCATAGAACAGCGCTACTGAGGACGCGTCTTTCTCAGCTGCAAAACAGCTCTTGGAACACAGTTATAGATTACAGATTATGTTTGCTTTTAACTAAACATTGAGTTGTCTTTTCCTATAAATGTTGTCAACTTCTAATTGGTTTTATCAACTAACGGTTAAAGCTCTAGTCATGCACAAGCATGGAAAAGAGAAAGACCACAGACAGTCATCAACATTCATCTACAGGGTACAATACTGCATCAATAACTATTGCTTTTCTTATGTGGACCCCTAGGACCGAGAACATCAAGCCTCGGGGACTACAACTGAAAATGAGCCAGTTTATGGTTCCTGCTAAATATACTCAAATGCCAGCTTTCTGGATTATTCTGGACATTAGAAGATGCAGCCTTTAATTAACAAATAGTATCAATCTGTTGTCCAGAGAAATCCTCCGGAGAAAATAATTAGCCAAAATACTTGCTCATTGTGTGTTAAATGACAAATCACAGTACATTCAATCACACAAAACCCAACAACAGCTAAAGACAACAAGCAGATGCGGGTACAAATCTAACAATGGCAAGGAGGAGCAAGTTATTGGTGAAAGAATGCCTACTATCAACACTAATGCACTCCATTTGGTGCAAATGCATCATTTAAATAATTGATGATAATAACAGCACTTCGCTCTGAAACATTTGGATTTTTCCCCACACTGCCTGAGGAATTGATCACCTGAGCTTACGTCCATTATCATCCATCTACAGGGGGGTGCTGCAGCCAGTCAAGCCACGCTATCAATCACCCAGCAGAGGCTGCTGCCCAAATAGCCACCTGCAGCCTTCTGCCACTATATTTTCAAGAATGAGAGAACAACAGAGCTGAGGAGGTAGATTAGAAAGGAAACTCCAGGTTTTTTAGATGTTTAGGGAACACAGATTATTCAAATTCAAATGCAAATCGAAGATATACTACAGATGTGACAGAAATTAGGTTGGAAAATATCCCTTTAAAGCACACACGTCACACACACAGGCCAGTACTACAGAATCCTGACCTTGATTCAGTGAGGCCTGAAAACCAGGAGCCATAGACGCGTACAAAGGCCGGTGACTTGCAAAGACAAATCATTCACCCCAAACAAACTGTGAATTCCAACCAACGCAAGCTTCACAGAAGCCATTCTCATAATTCATCACTGAAGATCACTTCATTAATTTCACTCAATTCCCCGTGACCTATTAAAGAGGTTAACGATGTGTCGAGCCTGCCTCAGTCCCAACCAGCAAATCATCCCAATCAGCTTGAATCTGTTCTTAGAATCAAATAAGATTGAGTAAGATTGCAAACACTGAACGTTACACTGCTGTTCCACATCAAGATGAAACAGCCATGCTTGTGCCACTTGCCGTTGTCGGCAGGGATACACTGACATGGGAATTATGGACTGCTATTTGTCATGTAGGTATCTGTCGATGTAGATACATAAACATTACATACATAAACTACCTGGATTAGCATTACAGAGAAATATAACATTCCTATAGTGTTATTAATGCAGTTAAACCAATGCAATGTCATTTTAGCTCAGCAGCCCTAAATGCAGCGCAGTAGCTCCTCAGTCGTCACACAAATGTAAACAGTAAATACATCATCAAATATCAGTTTGAAATATCGGTCAAATCTAAAGATCTGTGTAATGCTGACTCTTCTTAAGCAATTATCAACCATGCCAAAATGACTCCGATATCATTGGGCATCTCTGATTGTCAGCTATCTAGCACAGGAGCAAAGCAGACTCATGGTGTCATTCTATGTTCAAAGAAATTCATTTTGCTTTTATATTATGCCCCTAATAAGCATATCTGAGGGGTCTTATAGTCCAGTTAGAAATTTGGCCTCATTTGTAAAAAATCCTATCCTTACTGCTTCAGTTGTCTTCCCTTTCTATGTACATGTGTAAAGATGCAAACTGGGGATGCACAATAATATCAGGTTCTTATCAGCATCGGTAGATATTTGCTGAAAAAATGATCAGCATCAGGCTGATGTGTTCAGATTTTACCGAAATATCAAACTGATATTTGATGAGCGGAATGTTTACGTGATGCTGGATGACTGAGCGAAATTTTATTAGATTTTTTTATTCATTCTACTGCATTTGCAACCCAGAGTTAATGTTATATGCATCCCTAATGCTAATGGAGGTAGATCTAAAGCTTAAAGTTTTACATATGGTAGAAGAGGGTGTGGTCTCTGCACCTAATTTGCATAAACCAGAAAGACCTAAGAGAATTCTGCTTGAGTGGCTTGAGGTGGTTATTTCTTTCTATAATCAAGCTAGCCAACAAGATTAATATGTGTTGGGAGGTTCCAAAAAACTGCCTGCTGGGGTTGAGCAATATGACAATATATTATCATTCTCATGATGAGCTGCATCACAATACTCATTGCTGAGCATATCCTGGATGTCATTAGTACTTAGAGAATAGTGACCAACAGCATGTGTCATTACAAAGAGAGCAAAATTAGGCCTGTATAATTCAATTTAGTGCGCTGCAATGTGTAAAACGCTTAATTAATAATCATTGTAGGCTATAGCTTTTATAGTCATTTTAAATGCTGGTTCTTTTTTCATATGTTTTAGCTCAACAAATAAATATCATGGTACACACAAAACGTCTTAAGGTATCGTGATATTTTAGCCATTTTGCCCATCCCTACTGCCTGCTCTGTAGTCGAGACTAGCTTAAGTACATGCTCCCACTTCTTCTAGAATGAGCTTTTTGACATCTGCTAGCTACAATATTACAAACACAATATATCGAAATGGGCTTCAGTGGATATGCACATGAAAAACATCGGCTCACAATTCCCGTATCGGTGCATCCCTGAAGACAACACACAGAATGGCTGTGTTTATTTACTGCGATATTTGCTGCGAAGCATAGTGAGCCTCTTATAAGCAGTGTGGACTAATTCCTTCCTAACGAAGCCGTTGTAATCCTAAAAGAACACAGTCATGAATAATGTAGGTTTCTCTCGCAGGCCGGAGCAGCTACAGCCAGCGGCCAATTGTAGAGTCCGCCATCTAATGTAATCTTATAAATACAGCATGGAAATTTAGGTCAATAGGGAAGCAATTCCCTTTTCCTTTCGGCGCAAACCCCCTCATCCACCCCCAAAACCGCCTCTGTGGATGGAGAATCAGCCTCTAATGGATTCCATTTTCAGTTCACACACACGCACACACACACACACACACACACGGCGCTCCACGCTCCTCACAAAAAGCCGAAGACCACATCAGTGAAAATCCCCCCACATCGCTCACCACACGATGCACAGAAAACAAAGGCTCTATCATGTCTGGTGCATCCACAGTTTCTACCGAACGTCGTCTCGGGTCGAGTCTGACGGGGATGTGTAAGGTGGGTGTGTAGTGTGTGTGTGTGTGTGTGTGTGCGTGTAGTGTGTCAACTGGAATGACATTGCGCTTACCGAGTGAAGATTTCCTTCCTCCTGGCCTCCCCCCTCCTTTCTTTAGATTAACACCGAGAATTCAAACAGCAGGCAGCTGATGTCAACCATCCCTCACTGAGCTTTGGCGAGACGCTGGCGAGCTGAGGTGAAAGGAGCATCCGTGAAACAACAACACATCCACAGCTGGAGAAGAAAAGGAGGTGGAAAAAACGGCCACGGAGACAGCAGCAGCAGCAGCAGCCTGCTCGCTCTCTCTCTCTCCCTCTCTCCCTCTCTCTGTCTCTCTCTATCTCTCTCTTCCACTCCTGTATCCCTCTCCTCTCTGCAGTGATGGCGGGGAGACCACAGCGACATCTGCTGGACCGCTTTTCAATTTCTCTAATAGGTTTCTTCTGAGAGTGGGTAGAGAGGAGAATTGCCACTCAGTAATGAATACCGGCTTTGTCAGACGCTAGAGGGCGCTCACGAGCAAGTCCAAAATAAATGGGTTAATATGGGGCATTTGAGCAAAATCATAGTTTGTAAATGAACACAGAACAACTTAAAACATTTGAAGCTGTTAAACTCCAGTTATGGACCAGGATGGCGCCTCATGTATCATCAGTGAGTGCGAACAGCTTCGCTCAATGCCAACTAATCAGCTCTCAGTAGCAGTAATGCCAACCAATCAGCTTTCAGTAGCAGTAATGCCAACCAATCAGCTCTCAGTAGCAGTAATACCTGCTATTTTAACTTTTCATTTTTGGCTGTTTAGCTCCATTCATCCTATTCATTGAGGACATGCTCACAGGCGCCCTCTGCTGTCATGTTTTTTGATATAACGGGAGAAATAGGAAGTGTCCAGGCTCCTCTTAAACCGGCTCTGGTTTCCTCCATTAGCTAAGAATGCTAACGAAACATGACTGAGACTGACCTTACTGTCTGTAGCTCAACATTCTCGGTCTGCTCCTTTCATTTTAGCATTTTAGCAGTGCACACAACCATACTGTGCTGGTTCACCTATCCTATACAATCTATTAGCAGTATCTATGTATGAGCCGTAAAGGAGAGTGATTTCACCATTGGGGTGCCATTTAACATGTGTAACCCTGCTATTTGTAACTTTGCTGTCCAAATGTGTAAAATAATTGTATTAAACATACAGCAGTTTGAAGAAACAGGTTTGAAAAAAACAAGAGAGAAATAAACACAGCTTATAAAACCCTAAGCAGATCCTGGGAACTGTGTGGGTGTGGCCTAATATTTTGATAAGCAAGTGTGATTGACACTCCTTGGTCCAACACTCCCAGTCTGTTACACCACTGAAGCAGAACCAAACACACTAACATGAGTGGGAAGAAATCAGTGAAATAAGCTCTAGGTATGCAGGTCATGTTGTAGAGCCACGCTATGTCCATGACTCACTAAAAACATTATCCAACTCTCACAGAAGGTAAAGTTATTCGCTTTACGGCTGAATGTGCAACCAGGGAATGCTGGTGTGGCCAGTTGAACAAAAGAATGGGCATACAGACAGATGAACAGATGATCAACAGGCAGATAAATGAACTAGCAGGATAGCTCTGTTATGTTTGCTGGATTAGCTTTTACTTAGTGATAGCTTTCACTCGGTAAGTTTCTACTGCTCGAATGCAGTTTTGTAAAAGTTGTGCAGGTGGTACAACTTACGTCAGCCTTGTGATTGGTAAGGACAATGCTGACGTACGCACTACCCAAATAAGGACTGTCCAGTTTACATCCAGAGAGGAGAATTTTGTTGTAGATCAGTGGGGGCGGGGCGGGTTTCCATAGCAACAGGGAGCCAGCGAGGGCAGTGAGAACTTAGTGCACTCGTGTGTCAGATATCAGAGAAAACCTTCACTAAACACAAACCAAATGGATGAGAACTGCAGGAAATCAAAAAGGTAAATGATCAATTTGGTCAGTAAACAAAACAGTTCAGCAGAGACCTAACTACAAATTATTAATGCTGAACAAACACCAAACTTACCAGGTTTCAGTCTTTGCTCCTCTAAAGGTTAAAATGTTGTGACTCTTTACCAAGTCAGTGTGACAGAATATTATTTTATGAGTAAGTTAAGCAAAAATCTATTTGTTATATTCTATATATTAAAATATATTAAATTGATTAAATTAACCCCATAAAATTCCAGGCTTATTGCATACAAGGCTTCAATGCAAACAGGCTGAGCTAAATAAATATAAAACAGATAGTTCTGGTCCTAAAATCTAATTGGCTGAGCCGTGACCTCCTCACAACAACTGAACCCTGTATTACCCATGGCACGAAAAAATCTTTGACTCTAATGCTGATCGCACAGAGCACTGAGTGTACTGATGAAGTACGAACCCCTTTTTTTTTAAACTGAGGGGCTGAAAACTTATTTTCTTAACTAGAACTAGACTGGTCAGCTAGCCAACAGGCTAAAAGACAGCAAACATGCTAAACAACTCCAACATTAATATCACAGGCTTGAATTACTCACAATATGATTCACTGAAAAACAGCAATATAAAAGTCTAAAGAATGTCACATGAATGGCTTACATGCTTCAAATGTCCGTATTTCAGTCAGAAGTAGCATCAAACCCAGGCTGAATCCCAAACAGCTCCGTACTCCTTAACTTAGCTAAATAGTGTGCTGTGTAACATCAAGTTTAGAAATTCTAGCTTCTGCTGTTAAATAGTGCACTGCTTGTCGAGTATCGATGTGAAAGAATCCAAAATGACCATTTTTAGTGATATTTTGCGTTGTTGGGGTGTAGGAGTCTGTATTTAAATTCCTACGTAGGGCACTATGTAGGGAGCAGGGATCCACTTCGCGTCGTGCCAAAAAACACCCGTCCCCATGATAAAATCACAGTAACCCATGGCCTGCTGGTGGGCCCTGGCCATTTAAGAGGTTAATATATGTAGTTAATGTGGTAACAGGTCCAAGATACAACTTTTTTTAATATTTAAGATGGAATTTCAGTGGCTGTGTATACGGACATTTAAAAATAGCTGTATTCCTAAAAAAAATCAGATGATATGGGCCAACAACCCCAACCCACTAATCATCCAACCTATGACCGCCTGACCCCAACCCCCAAAGCCTCCAACCTCCAATATCCCCCTCCCCCCAACCCCGGCCAGTATCTCAAAAATGAAAAACAAAACTGTAAAGGTTGGCAGCCCAGTATTGGGCATTGGAAAGCTATTCACAAGGCATACTTTGTGCATATATATTCTGTGCCCCCAAGAGCAAGATTAACCTACTTAGAAAGAAAACATGCATTAAGGTTCCTTTAAATGTGCATAAAATTAGCAAATACACAAAATGTGTAGCATCCATGCTAATGGCATGAAGACATTAAGGGCATTCTTGATTTATTGAAAGTGCATTTTTTTTAATGAATAACTTACATTCAGTCTATAATCTGGGTGACAGGGTTGTACTTTCAAAGTGATCTCGTCTGTCAATATCACAATGTCATTGAAGATAAAAAAGCCTTTCTTCCTCCACTGAGCTTCATTAAATTTGGCTATTGAAACTACCTGTTGTGGAACATTCCTAATACTTCATAGCAGGGCTGGGCAGTATGACAATATATATCACTATTGTGATAAATTATGTCACAATACAATACAGTATGCTTTTCTGATCATATTGTGTATATCATCTGTATCTGTAGAACACTGACCAGCTGCACAAGACTGCAAGAGAGTAAAATTAGTCCCTTTTAACTGGATTTAGTGCAGCACAGTATGACAAATATTGAATAAAAATCATTGCATTCACAGTTTTTGATAGTATTTCAATAAAATGAAGCCCTACTGGTTATTTTTTCTCTGTTCCAACTAATCAGATGTCTGAAAAAATAAATATCATGACATATTGTTTATTATAAAAATTTCTTGAAGTATCACAATATGATATTTTTGCCATATTGAATATTTTTGCTGTGGTAAATGTGTTCAGGTAACAGGGTTGAGGGAATGTTGAGGGACACAACCAAAACATAATTTGTTCGTAATCTATAATAGATTCTCTAAGATGGCCTGAACAGATACAGTAACACCTCAGCTAGGCTGAGTGAAAATGAGAGTCAGTGAAACCAGAGGTCAGTGGAAGCGAGTGCCCAGGATGTCATTGTTAAAGGTATTCAATGCAGCCCAAAAAGCTTGGGTGATGTCATGTGAGACAGGCAATGTCGTATGAAAACAGCTTTAATCCCCAGCAGATCCTGGTCCTGCAGCAACGGCGTGCTGTACCGTCTGGCCTGGTCACTTCCGCCGTGGATCAATGCTCCGCTCTCTGTGGACTGGACGCACAGAAACTCATCCACTCAGTGACCTTGAGCAGAAGATTAGAGAATGAAAAGCATGGATTTAAAGCCCTGTCCGCATCCCTCCCAAAGCCATTATAACTTCACTAAAATGAGCGGGGGGTGGGGGCAGTAAGGGTGAGGGGCTGTGGAGTCAGACAGGCCTATTCTGTTAGAAAAAATAAATAATAGCCATGATAACCCAAACAGATACTGTCTAATGACGTGTCATGCTACAGAATGAACTTGTGATTTAAAAATCTATTCATGGTGGAGAGGCACGTGTTATAAGGCTAAACAGTAGCCAAAGACAAAGCTTTTTTTCTTTTTTTTTAATTTTTCCAGTATTTTAGCATTATCAACATTACATATAAAACTTGGAAGACGCATGTGGGTTCACTGATGGTTTTGAATAGTAAATAAAATGGCTGATTTTCATTGTAGACATCACAAGCCCCGGTTTCTACACTCTCGGGAAAAAAGGTACCAAACTGTCGCTGGGGCAGTACCCCTCTTGTCACAGGGGTAGTACCTTCAAGGGTACGTTTCAGTACCTTTATTCAGGGAACATAATTGTACCATAATCCACTGAAATTATATTCTCTAAATTGTATTAACTCTCCACAACCCATCTCGTCTCCAGGCTTTTTATTTTATTCAAATATTAAGTTATGAAAAGATACAAATATATACTTCTCACCTGGAAAAACCTTAGTTAAGGTACACAACTGGACCTTAAAACCACTGTTGTACTAATAAGGGAGTCCTTACATTATTTGTACCTCGATGAACAAGAAATGTACCTGCACAGAACCTTATTATTAAGTTATTACTTATTTCTAAGTTATTGCCAGTATTGACTCCACACACCCTGCCCTGTCTTAAGGTTTTTTATTTTATTGTTCTATTTCAAAACTTTAGGTTATGACAAAGTACAAATAC